CTGAATCGGGCTGTGAATTTTCCAGGGAGCCCATCACCGTATGTTCCTTAGATTACAGAACAAACATGTAGCATGTAGAATTTGATTATTTTCATGGTATCTAGTCTGTCTGATAGTGCCTAGTTGGACTGTTTTTCATTGAAAAGATAGTAAGTAGCTCTGTGGAGTGAGTGGACTAGAAGTTAACACCAGTGACGTCTGAGCATCAACTTCGAGGTTATCTGCAAGTTCCTGTTAGGTCCTTGTGTTTATTGGTTTTGGAACGTGCGTTTGTGGGGTGAGGAGACAGAAGCCTGGGGTGAACGGGCTGGATAGACTAGCAAGAATTTCCAAGCTTCAAGTTCATTGTGAAACTGTGCCTCAATAAATAGTCTGCAAATGCACCTACACATGTGTACATGCACTTGTACATGTGTGCCTACACACATTTGAACATGTATACACACATGCACATACATGGCACACACAGTGCAAAAAATAATTGCATTTGAAATTTGGTCATGGAAGCAAAAGTTCAAACTGACTTGTGGGTTTACGTAGCGCAGGGGCCAGCATATTGGGAGGTGAGCCTGGGCCTGAGCCTTTGCTTGTCTTTGCTTGCTCTTCATGTATCCTGGCCCTGCTCCTAGAGCTCTGGTGGCCTTACCTTGCTCCTTTTGGTGGTGTTCTGTTGTTCTTTCTCTTGTCATCTGAAACTAATTTGTGCACTGTACTGCCAACTCACATCTTGAATTAATGTATGGAAATTTGGGTCATTGGCCCACTGAGTGAGGATCAGGACATTTTGTAACTAATTTGAAGGCAGCTTTGCAGACATAAGAACTTCAGCAGTGCTTCAGGCTTTGCCCTCTAAGACGACGTTCTTCCTGTGTACAGTTGCTCCTCTGGAGATGGGTCATCAGGTCTCTTCTGCAAATCAGGTTTTTCATGATTTGACTTTCATGTTTCATAGACTAGACGAGGGCCAAAGCGCAAAGAAAGGAGAAAAGGCACCAAGCCAAATGCCTAGAGAGATGGGGAAACTGGCGGGCCTGGTGAAGTTATTTTAAAATAAGGTAGTCTTTAACAAAGGCGTTAATTATTAACAGGGAGGGGCTGCTCCTTTCGTTTCTAGAGTGCCTGTTCCCCACTCTTGGAGCTCAGGAACTAATGGTGGGCGTTTTGTAGCTAGCAGCAAACCAGGGATATGCTCTCCTAGGAGAAGAGCTGTGACCACAAGGGCTCACGTGGCATCTGCCCCTTTCATTCAGATCACAACTGGTTGGGTACAAAGCACTGTGGCTTTAGTGTTTCGATGTGTGGTGAAAGGGAGAGGTTGTGAGGCCTGTGGTTGTTAACAGATTCTTTCAAGCTGGAAGTCTAGGTCTAAGAAAGATACAGAGGGAACTGGGGAGCTGTGTGCACATGCCCGCTGAGCTCAGTAGAGAGTATGCTCTAGACTCGGTCCACTTTATTTCTTCTGGTTGGATCTGTAGCATGTAAAGGTTAATGGGCTCCTTTAACCATACAGTGTGAGATCTCCTGACTGGTGGTAGATCCTGTGGGTTTGGAGCTTCTTGGACTAAAATACATGAATCTTAAGGTAGACTTGTCTAGTTCAAATCCACGTCTCTTGGGAAGACGGCAAGTAAACAAATCCCTTCTTAGGGTGGCTACTCCTGAGACTTTCTGACTCGGGTGCCCATCTTCACCAGAGAGTGCACACGGGCCCCTCAGCTGCTCTTGAAGTTGATGAGGAAGCAGTGATCACGGCAGATGTTGTTTTAGGGTGTATGAGGGGTTTCTGAGGCCTCACCCAGAGACCGCTCTTCTTCTGTGTATATAAGTAACAATTGGGTTTCCAGAGTAAAGGACGCCAGACGTATAATGTAGTCCTGAGATGAGAGAAAGTGATCATTAATACTGTGTGCGTGTGCTGACTTGTGTGTGTGTGTGTGTGTGTGTGAGAGAGAGAGAGAGAGAGAGAGAGAGAGAGAGAGAGAGAGAGGAAGGCAGGGAGGGAGGGAGGAAAGGGGAGGGAGGGGGAGGGAGGGAGGGAGGGCGGAAGGAGAGTGGGCTTGGGATATAGGACACAAGAGAGACTGAGTATAACAACTCTAAGGAGCTAACTGTGGAGGTGGAATGTTGGAAATTCACAAGTTGGAGGCCAACCTGTGCTACATAGCCATGACTCATCTCTGTAAGCCAAAGAAATCACAAGAAACACCTCAAAGCAGATGTGAGTTTCGTTGGGTACCTAAGACCAGAATGTTACAGGGGCTCCCAGGCAGGCCCTCTTATGAATGAATTTACTGTTGTGAATAATGGCTCCGGCCCTATTTTATGAAAACTATGTGGTGTGCTCTTGAATCTGTAATTCCCATCCCAAATCCTTACAGACAAATGTTGCTGGATAGCAAGCCTCCACCAAAAGATCCACTGCTTATCCTAACGTTTCTCCTACACACGCTTCATTCTTTAGCAGTCCTCTTGCTTGCCTGTCTCTCTCTGGGGTCCATGGTGCTAGGCTGTTTCTGTCCTAGAATAAATTTAGAGGCAACTTGATAGGTAGTTGCCTTAAGTATCTGGGTAGAGCCGATTGCTTCTGTGTTTCCCTTGCATTCTGGTCAGATGGTAAGTGCCCCATGTGTGCTCACACAGAAATGGCTGTTTAAATGCTGACTGCATGGTTATCTCTTCTACCTTAGTCTCCTACCTTATAGTCTGTTGAAGATAAAGTTAATGGTTTTCTAAAATTTTATATATGATGTATGATCTCTGTGTGTGTGTGCTGTGTATATGTTTGTGTGTATGCCATGCCATGCATGGGAGTCAGAGGGCATCTTTCAGGAGTTGTTTTTATGATCACACCTTACCCACTCTTGCAGAACTTGGAGTCTAGCTCTGTCCTGGGACACTCATGTGTGAGAGTCCTGCTCAGTGGGGTTGGGTAGGCCATGTCTTCTTGATATCAGGCCGTTATTCAACATGAAGAAAGCCAGGAAGGTTTTTAGAATGAACTGTCAGCCTTAGACTAGGTGGTGTTGAGTTTTTCTGTAGTCCTAGAGGGGACCTGGAATACTTGAATTTTGTGTCTAGTTAAGACTCACTCCAGTTTAAACAATGTTAGTTGGCTGTGTTGAACCACGTGCAGCATAAATAGCATTGACTGTCAACAGACCTTGGTTAGGGAAGCATTCTCTCAGCACCCTCTTGGTTAGGGAAGCATTCCCCCAGCACCCTCCTGGTTAGGGAAGCATTCTCCCAGCACCCTCCTGGTTAGGGAAGCATTCCCCCAGCACCCTCCTGGTTAGGGAAGCATTCCCCCAGCACCCTCCTGGTTAGGGAAGCATTCACCCAGCACCCTCCTGGTTAGGGGAACATTCTCCCAGTACCCTCCTTCCTAGCCTCCGAAACATCTGTCTTTCCTTTCTATACTCTTACATATTGGTGGGAATTCCAGGACCTACCAGGTCCAGGTGGGGTGGGGAAGGACCTACCATTGGTTTACTCCTGCCTTTGGGTGACAACAGAGAGTTCAGGTTCCGTGTAGTCTAGAAGATGGTCCAGGGAATGTTGGGCCATCTCAGTGGGAGAGGAGGGAGAGGACCTAGTGCTCATTGCTGCAGAAAGTGAGAAAGAGAGAAGGCAGAGTCACTGTCACTTTCTCCAGCAACTGCCGGAAGCTCCTGGATGGGAAGAGTAGGGGAAAAGAGCAGAGACTACTTCTTACTGAACAGGAGCCCCTCTATACAGCACTGTAAGCCGGCCTGCAGTGTGTGTGCGCGTGCATGTGTGTATGTATGTGAGCCTGCAGTGAGACACTAACAATAAATTATTCATTAGTCAAATAGCTTTGAATGTATAATTTTGAGGGAGTTTTTGTGAATGATAAAACTTTGGCCTTTAAATAAATATTTTCTTAAATTATTTAAAATTCGGTGTGTGTGATCTATATATATCACACACGTGCAAATGTGTGCACATACACATACACAGATATGTTTCCGTGCTCCTAGACTTTTCGTGCCACAGTGCATGAATACACATGTAGTTTTTATGGAACAGCTGTGATTCCCCAGGGATTTATTGGACTTTCTTCCTGCTGTGCTGTCACACCGACTACATGAGGAAGGTGCAATTATGGAAGAGAAGAAAGCTCTTTTGAATTTATGATATTTTGAATATAGTGTGAATTTCATTTATTCCTTGTAAACAAGGGAATCAGCTTTGGGGCCCAGCTGGTTTGGGTGTGAAATAGATACAGGGGAGCCCAAAGAGTGTCTGAGAAAGAGAGATCCTATGTGTCCGACTCAAAGAAATGATCAAGGAGAAATAATTAGAACATGGGTGATTATCAGATTACTTAGTCTTTTAACGTGATAATTGAGGCTGCAGTGTATGTATTAACCTCAGTTTGCTCGTGTTAAATGCTTCTAAATTATGTTGATCTTAATGAAAGAGAAAGTATAGTTCTTTGGGAATGTAACCTCTGTTTTGGTCATTACCTTATGATGACCACTGTAGTTTCTGGTTGTCATTTTTACTGTCTCCAAATGTGACCCCAAATTAAAGGCACTTGTTGCTCTGGCAGAGGACCTCAGTGCAGCTCTTAGCAGCCACATTGGGTGGCTCACGACGAGTCTGTAGCTCCAGCTTCACCGGACAGAACACTCTGGCCTCTGCGGTGTCTGCACACATGTAGCATACACATAAACAATTATTTTAGAAAATGCAATCTCATTTTATTCTCAGATAAAATGGGGTGGGGTTGTTACCATTATTCATGTTTTAAAGTTTTGAACTAAATTCTGGGAGCCTGATTTTGGTCTTCGAATTCTGCTTATTTCCTTGTCCTTCCCTGGTTCACTGTGGGGATGGACATAAAACTTAGCAGCTGCGCTCTGTGACGAGGGTGCATGGAGTCCTACAGAGAACACCTGGATTGCTCATAACTGTAGTCATGGGCCTTTTATTTTTTTATTTTTTGTAAGCATGGGTGTTTCTCTTGTCTCTTGCAGATAGCAAGTTGAGGGCAATTCTCCATGAATGTACGTCACCATGATGATGACCGACCAGATCCCCCTGGAACTGCCACCCCTGCTCAACGGGGAGGTGGCCATGATGCCCCACTTGGTGAATGGAGAAGCAGCCCAGCAGGTTGGTGACCTTGTTTGACAGGGAGGCCTTACCTGGTATTTGATTGATTTGGGGATTCAGAAGTCTTCGCCTTCTGAACTTTCATGGTTCTAGAGATGTTTTTGTTATCAGATAAGTATTGTATGATTTTTAAAATACTTGAAAAAAATTGAGATCAGAAACTCAGCTAATATTCTTAAAGAACCAAAAATATGTTAGTTTTTAAATGACTCATTGTGAAACCATTCATTCATTCATTCATTCATTCATTCATTATACTTGACAAATCTGCACATGCCCAGACGAACCTACCCAGAATTCTGGGATGACCATTCCTCCATGGGACCTGGGGTGACCCTTCCTCCATGGGACCTGGGGTGACCCTTCCTCCATGGGACCTGGGGTGACCTTTCCTAAATGGGACCTGGGGTGACCCTTCCTAAATGGGACCTGGGGTGACCCTTCCTCCATGGAACCTGGGGTGACCCTTGCTCTGTGGAACCTGGGGTGACCCTTCCTCCGTGGAACCTGGGGTGACCCCTCCTCTGTGGAGCCTGGGCTGACCCCTCCTCTTTGGAACCTGGGGTGACCCCTCCTCTGTGGAGCCTGGGGTGACCCCTCCTCTGTGGAACTCCTAAGGTTTCCGTATGAGAATATTTACCAGATGCTCTACTCCTGTGCCATTCATGGCTTAACAGTGTGGCACACAGCAGCTGTTTAGGAAGGCAGCTATGTAGTTCTTAGGGAAAATCTGAACTGTAAGGTCAGTTGCCCTTTTATCATTGGAACTGAATTGTCTCTAATAATGTTATTTTTTTTAAAAAAAAAACTGACAATCAAAATTGTGCTTGTTCTATCTTGTAATTATCTAAATATTTTTTCTTTGTACATTTCTGTGTTGGTTAGGGTTTCTCTTGCTGTGAAGAGACATCATAACAGTAACAGCTCTTAAAAAGAAAGAACATTTAATTGGGGTGGTTTACATTTTCAGAGGTTTAGTCCATTATCATTGTGGTGCGGCATGGTGGCATGCAGACAGGCATGGTGCTGGAGAAGGAGCTGAGAGTCAGTCTTGTATCTTGACTCATAGGCAGCAGGAAGTGTTCTGAGACACTGGGCGTGGCTTGAGCTTTGAGCTTGACCTGAAAGCCTGCCTCCATAGTGACACACTTTTTCCAACAAGACCACACATACTCCAAGGTTACACCTCCTAATAGTGCCACTCCCTTTGGGGGCCATTTTCTTTCTTTTTTTAAATAATTTTTTAAACTTATTTTGTAAACTAAGCACAGTTTCTCCTCCCTCCTCTCCTCCCAGTCCCCTACCTCACTTCCTTTCTACTCCCCCACTCCTCCTCTGTCTCCATCCAGATGGGGTAAGGCCTCCCATGAGAATCAAAGTGAGGCAGGACCAAGTGCTTTCCCCTGCTTCAAGGGTGAACAGGCATCCCACCACTGGCAATAGGTTCCAAAGAGCCAGCTCATGCACCAGGGACAGGTCCTGCTTCCTCTGCTAGGGGCCCCACAAAAGCCCAAGCTACACAACTGTCACGCAGATGCAAAGGGCCCAGGTTGGTCCCATACCGGCTCCCTAGCTATCTGTCTAGAATCCATAATCTCCCACAAGCTCAGGGAAACTATATCTGTGGGTTTCCCCATCATGATCTCAATCCCCCGCTTGCTCATATAATCCCTTCCCCCTCTTCAACTGGACTCATGGAGCTCAGCCCAGTGCCTGCCTGTGGATCTCTGCATCTGCTTCCATCAGGTACTGGACAAAGGCTCCATGATGACAATTAGGGTGGTCACCAATCTGATTGCAGGGGAACGTCAGTTCAGGAACGCTCTCTACATTGCTAAGAGTCTTAGTTGGGGTTGTCCTTGTGGATTCCTGGGGGTTTCCCTGGCACCAGGTTTCTTCCTAACCCCAGAATGGACCCCTCTATCATGACATCTCTTTGATTTCCCTCCCATTCCTTCCCGCCCCATCCTGATCCCTCATGTTCTCATCCCCCATCCCCTCTCCCTACTCCCCTGTGCCCCCAGTTTACCCAGGGCATGTTCTCTTTCCTCTTCTCGGGGAGATCCACGCATCCCTCACATGGTTCTCTTTGTTACCTATCTGCTCTGGGGCTGTGGGTTGTAGCCTGGTTAGCCTTTGCTTTACAGCTAGTATCCACTTAGGAGTGAGTACAGACTGCACTGCATTTTTTTTTTTTTGAAGCATAAACATATTGTTTTTTGAATGGTTGAGTTGGGAGTAAACTTGAAAAATAGTTATCCAAAGCATATTAATAATTCAAGTAAGTTGAACAGTGACCTGTCTGATATGAGCTTCTGCTCCCCATTGCCCCATCATGACCTGTTATTGACATGTCGTACTTGGTCAGGTACCTAACAGAGGTGCCTATGGGTCTGACCTTGATGCTCAATCATTTATTACTTTCCTCTGTATTGTGGTGTTCTACCAACAAAATATATCTATGAATGAAATATATCTAACAAGGGCTAGAGAAATGACTTAGCAGTTAAGAACATTTGTTCAATTCCTAACATGTTGGGTAAGCCACTTGTAACTGCAACTTTGGGGGGATCTGCCATCCTCTTCAGGCCTTCATGGGTACTACACATGAATACACACATGAGTACACACACGTGCACACACACACCTTTCTCACACATCATCAAATAAAAACAAAATGAATCTTATAAAACAAAAAACTGCATACAGCTAACGTGTGCTTTCTAGTGTTGGTTGTTTGGGTGTGGCTCACCCCTTATCATCTCGGTAGCAGTACTTCTTTCTGTCTGGATCAGACCCTGTCACACTGTGTAACACCTACTCTTTTATACACATAAACAGCCACACCGTACTCAGCTAACAAGCCCGGCTCATGGCTGCTCTGCTTCCTCCCCTCCCTCTGCAGTGGACTGATGGCCGAGTCCTCCACCTCTCTTTTCCTCCCAGCCTTCAGCTTTGCAGTCTCCACAGTGTCTTCTCACTGTACGGTTCTGGTATTTCATTCTAAACTCTGGGCTTTCCATTGGCAGTGCCTGCTGAGTCCATACCTTGCCAGGTCTGTTTCATTTCTGTGACTACCTGGGCCCTGTGCCCATGCCTTGCCAGTGCCTGGCACTTGTCTTCACTGGTCTGTCTGCTTCTGATTTTTTGCTCAAGTCTCTGGACAGAAGCCAGAGCCATCTGCTCAAAATACAGTGTCTTTCATGCTCATCCCTTATTCAAAGCCACCCTGTCGCCCCTGGAGCAAATCCTGTCTCGTAGCCTGGTAACCTTGCCGTGCCCTGGCCTTTTCTCTATCACTGACTGGACTCTCCTTTCCTCTAGTCTTGCAGCTGTTTTTGGAAAGCTATGGTAGTGCAGTAAATGGTTTCAGGATTTTAAGTTCTGTCTCCCTCATATTTACTCATTAATAGAGTTTTAGAATCCAAGGTATTCAAATGTAATTAGCTTGGACAGCATCAGGACTCCCCGTGGAGCTGCAGCCCGGCTTCTCAAAGCCACCTTTCCTTGTTGCTACATCCCAGATTTGTGCTTTGGTGACTTTGCCCTCATTTTTATGATTCAGTTTGCCCAGAGAAGACTTTTGTAGCTTATTAGCCTGCATAAAGAGCCCTCAGTTTCAGAATTTTCCAGTCTTCCTTCAAAAGTGAACTCGGCCACAGAGACATGACTGATGACCGGAAAGACTGGGTGTCCCAGAAGAACACATAGTACGTTCCTACCCTGTGCTCCGACACTGACTTAGTAAATCTGCTCCACCAGGAAGAATTCTAGAAAGCTAAAAGTGGAAAATTTATCAATTTATATATTTTGTAAATAGATGCCAAGCTTTTCCAATTGGAGAGTACACTTAAATAATATCACGGTGTCTGGGATGGGAGTTCACTACTCAGTAAAGTATTGGGCTTGTGTCTGATCCCCAGAACCCATGATAAAATAACAAACAAACCAACTAAACTGCAGTGGGGGCATACCGTGATCCCGGTGCTGGAATAGTCGAGACAGGGATCTGTAAGTCCTTCTGGCCAGCTGGTTTAGACGACTTGGCAAGTTCCAGGTCAGCGAGAGACTGTCTCAGAGCAAAGTTGTCTATGTTTGAATAGCAGCACAGGAGTTGTTCTGACCTCTACATGGATGTATAGGCGTGTACAACGGCCCCACATGCGCATGCATATGAGCTTGCATAAACACGTGTGCTCATCCGTGTGCACTTGCACAAACATGTATATGCACACACAACATCATGGAGAGTGTTTCAGCCTTCTTAATCTGTGTTAATCTGGAAGATTTAACATGTACACCTAACTATTTGGTATAGGTGGACTTTCTTTGGGCTGCCAGCTCTAAATAATGACACAGAGACTTATTAATTATGAAAACTTGGTCTTAGCTTAGTCTTGTTCCCAACTAGCTCTTAAAACTTAAATTAATCCATTTATGCTCATTACCTCTGCTCAGTACTGTGCGTCCCACTTCCTGCATGTCTGGCTAGCAGATCCCCCCTCTCTTTGCAGAGTTTCCATTTCATCTCAGAAACCCCATCTAGCCTCTCCTGCCTAGCTATTGGCTGTTAAGCTCTTTATTAAACCAATCAGAAGGTGCCTTAACAGAGTCAGATCTTCACAGTGTACAGAAAGATTATCCCACAACAATTTGATGTTAATGTAAATTTTCTTAAAGGGAACATTGTTTTGTAAGCAAACTATTTGAAATCTCTTCCTCAGTGGTACCAGACCAAGATCCATCATGCATGGGTGATGAATGGTAAGCAGTGCCATGGCAACTTCAATACCACTTGCTGCAGGCAGTGACCCCCGGCCACAGGCTTCTCCTGTGAGGAGCTGGGTCGAATGTTTGTGAGGAGCAGGCACACCTTGCCTGTGTTTACTGTGCTCTTAGTATTTCAGAGCTGTGCAGAGGACACTCAGCACTTCTGCCAGTGCAAAGGGCCTATGCCGGCTAAGGGAGCCGACGTTAGCCTTATCCTCCTCCTGTCTGAA